GTCGGACTATTCTCGCAAAGACTGTTTACTGCTTATGAACTGCAAATCTTGGCAAGCAAAACTGATGGGCTCGAATGTGTTGTTTCTCGACAGGGTTCATTACTTGAGTGTTGTTTGGGAACCTGTCAATTTCCGTTACAAGCATTTCGCTGTTTGGTATGGTGGCAGTTGGACTCAGTCAGTTCGAACTTTCTTCTACAGGTTTCAGAAGGTTTTGCGACAGTAACCAGACTTCATTTTTTGTATAATACCGTTGATTATTTACACAAAATTTACTTTCCAGATAACTGATCGTTGGTGACTACAGCTGATATAGCTTTTATAAGCCTATTAGTATCTTTTACAGGGTAAAGCTGAAATGTTCAAAGCACTTTCAAGCAGTCAAGAAACCTTAAAATGTCTGTTCAAAAGCTTCAAATTGACGATACAGAAGCAGTAGTACTTTTATGGAGCTTCTTAACTGTGTACTTCACTTCTTTTTATAATTTTTTCAAAGTACTTTTTATTTTTGTAACACTACTGCCATTCTTGCGTCGTTAAAATAATTTTTTTTTCTGCCGTAGATTTTTTGGTTATCTGATGATTAAGGGCATCGTATGGTGGAGAAATGTAACAGTGTTATGCGAGTTTAGACAGTGATTGGTGTGGAAATTTTATTGCTAAACAGCTTTCTTATAATTAAGAGTGCTTTTTATGTTTAGTATTGTCGTGTTCATCCCTTCAAATTTTTTACAAGCACACGTTTTTAATTCCTGTTACAGGAAGAACTATGTAGGTATTCGCCTCGTTCATGAAGGCGTTCTCTAATAGAAGTATTGAAAAACGTGCTATAACAGAGCAAGGCCTGTTGCAGGCAAACCTAGAAAAGAATCAGACTTAAGTCACTGTTAGAAATACAGAGTTTTTCATGTTGAGAATATTCTAGTGATCTGTTTACATCCTAAATGTAGACGTACACATATACTTTACTGTTATTTTAATGCTCGTGACTTAAAATAATTTTTTTTCTTTTCTGCCGTAGATTTTTTGGTTATCTGATGATTAAGGGCATCGTATGGTGGAGAAATGTAACAGTGTTATGCGAGTTTAGACAGTGATTGGTGTGGAAATTTTATTGCTAAACAGCTTTCTTATAATTAAGAGTGCTTTTTATGTTTAGTATTGTCGTGTTCATCCCTTCAAATTTTCAAACTTATTGATTTTGCTGAGTTTTATGCTGTTCTCTGAATGAATTTTGATCATTGATGGAATTCCAGGTTGCTGGTATGGCTTCTTCCTCGGCAAAAGTTACCTTCAAAATTACCCTTACTAGTGACCCTAAATTACCCTTTAAAGTGTAAGTTTGTTGTTTCACTCTGCATTTACCATTGCTTTTCATGTGTTTGTTCATTATTTAGACTTTAGCTTTCAATTAAGTTTTGCAGTCGTTTATCTCTTTTTTAGAGAATTTTACACCTTTTAGCATAGTCAGTTTCACTTACCAGGAAATCTTTTTTTTTTTATTTTGTGTCTTATTGTAAATATTGTAGACTGAGGTTGTTTCGCAGTAATCTTTTTTTCCTGAAGGATCTGAAACTCCTTTACGTACAGTATTATGGAACTAATGGCAAGGAATGTACTAACTTTCTTATTTCAGGCTTAGTGTACCAGAAGCTACTCCTTTTACAGCAGTTTTAAAATTTGCAGCAGAAGAATTCAAAGTTCCAGCAGCTACCAGCGCAATAATAACTAATGATGGTGTTGGAGTAAACCCAGCGCAATCAGCAGGCAACGTTTTTATGAAGCACGGGAGCGAGTTACGACTAATACCCCGAGACCGTGTTGGATCAAGTTTATAGTTTTTTGTTTTGAAATTGTTTGTTCGACTACCAGTGACTCTATCTCCCGATATGTGGATTTTCATTCCGAACTTGTCTCTCTTGAACGTATGCTTTCTTATTAAGCTCGAATTTACCAGCTGCACACCTTTGCTAAATCTTTTTGTATATAGAGAAATGTTTTTTTAAATACAAAGTTTAAAACAAGCATTTTTTTACGGTAGCGCTTTAGGATGTTCTAAGTTTTATTCTTTTAGTCTTAAGGTAATCAGTGGACTTAAATTTGGAATTGAGGAGGATGCACGATGTCATGCTGAAAAAACTTGAAAGTTTCCGCATTAAACCTGGCTTGGGTTTTTTTCTGTTGGTTAATTTATCTTCTATTTTGTACGAATTTTATTTGCTCAAAGTCTTTCTGCAAAATTCTTTCCGCTATCTTTTGGTTAACATATTGGCATACTTTTTACAGTTTTGTGGTTTACCTAATTATTAAATTTTCTTGTTCTGTTGAGTTGAATATAAATATGGTATAGTTTGAAGCCGTAAAACATTTTCCGGTTTCAGAGCTATCGGTAGTTATTCTGGTGACTTGTTAGATTTCCTTCGCCTTGAATGACGGCGTTTACAACTGATATTGGTAGTGCTTTCTCGTAAAGCCCTATAGAATCTGTTTCAAGTTCCTCTTTATGACGCTGACCAGTAGGTAGTTGATTTCACTTGGGTCAGGTTTTTAGGAGGCGGAGTATCTGAACGATGGTACTAGCTTCAGTTAATCAGTGCTAGACGGTAACACACTAAGATAATGTTCGTTGGAGGGGGATTAGTTATGACTATCAGTTTTTAAAAAGCAATTTTAAAAAATAGGTAGCTGTATTACTGGCTCCTTTGTATTGCAAGAAGAAGTTGACCTGATGGAAATTCTGTTGCAGGAAAGAATCGATGTTTTGCTTTTTTGATGAAGTGATCAAAGTTAAGCTTGAATGAAGACGGTGAACTTGCTTATAGTCAAGGAGTTAAGGGATAAAAATTTCTTGTTTGAAGAGTGATAAAATGAGTTAGAAACAAATAATTCATAAAACCCGCGGTCCGATATTGAGTACAATTAATGTTGCAGTCAGAAATATTACTGCAGTGGTGGAAATCCACCACAACACTTTCTCCCAAGGTTTCTTCCGGAAATTCCGTAGAACAATGATCCCCATGAGCACGCCAGCCAGAAATCCACCAATATGTGCAGTGTAGGATATCTAAACAGAAGATTTTGATGACGTCATTTAGGTCGTCTACCTGAAGTGTTTGTCAGGTAATTTGTTAGAGTAAGTTTTGAAGTAGGAAGTTATCCTTCATGAAAAAATTTTTTTCTTGCGATTTTTTCGTTTACAGAGGTTTCACTTCATTATTTTATTTGAACTGAAATGGACTTATATTCTGCTGATTAGGACGTGCTTACAGTAGTGGCTTCCACTTCAAAGTAACGCTGGTAGATGGAAACTCCAAGATCACTTCCGATCAGAATGATTAAAATTAGTGCGCGGATAGCAGCAAATTCCATTTCGGACCAGTTGACTAATAATTCAGAAATATGCGCTGCCAGCAGCGCATAAACACCTCCAGACGCTCCAGCCAAATAAGCCGATGGGTCCACCACCGAAACCAAAAGCGAACCTTAAATTTAATTACTTTTTGCGACTACCTTAATCTATTAAGTTAGCGACTTGACTAGCACTTCAGATCTATGATTGTTAAACGTTGATGTGACTGTTGTAAAATTAATGCGATTCACAGAAAGTGCTGTCAGTTTTAAAATAACCGCTAAATAGGGATCAAAATAGAATATTTAAGGTGATACCTGCCAAAACTCCTGCAATGTAAACTGCAGAAACCCTCCATAACTTGTGTACCAGTTCGAGTGCAATGCCAAGTATGAGCTGAGTTAATACATTGAAAGCTAGATGAAAGAAACTGAAATTTTTTTCGTTTTGATTTAAAATTTGTTTATTTTTGCCTGCTTTAAATGCTTTAAGTCTCGTTTATGATTTTTATGGTATAAAGCGTTTTAATATGCAAAAAACCTATATCTGCCTTGAAAATTAGAAGGAAAACTTACTCAACATGCACGAGCATGTATGTTAAGAAACGCCACACTTCCTCCAATTTTTCCGGGTTAAAGATTAACGGTGACTTCATTAATGTTACTCCTGTGGTCGATGGTTTACTTAAATCAAGACCGACCTCCATTTCGAGTACGTAATAAATATAAAATGCCACCTGCAAAAGTAATATGAAGTATTATACTTTTTCCTGCAAATATTCAAGCTGTTTAACTAACTTCTGATTGCTCAAACCTAGTTCTCCAAATTAGCATTGAAACTGTAAATTAGTATCTCTGATCTAAACAGAATCTGCCTGGTTTTACTGCAGTTGTAGACTAAAGAAAATAAGTTGACCTCAATTATGCTGATGAAAAGCATGAAAAGCGGAGGTGGAAAACAGTTGTACTGTTGCAGATAACTGAACGGTTTTGTACGAATTCCTTTTGGTACCACCATTTGTGCAGCCCGAAACATCACTCTTCTTAAACGCATTCTTTTGGCTTTACTCATCTAAAAGATTGTTTTAGTCCTTATCTCATTAGCAGACTAAATTTAGGAAATACGAAAAAAAATTGTAAGTCCAACACGCTTAGCTTCACTACAGATTGCTTCTTTCAATCTGTAGCTCAGCAGTGATTTCCCAGTGACTGAACATGCGTAATGCAAGTTAAAAAGTTTATATTTATGACTCATTTCATTCTGTTTTAAAACTATAAGCTTGCAATCAAAAAACAGCTAACCAGAAGGCAGAACTCAGCAAAATCAACCAGATGATCCCTGTTCACGTCAACATTGTCCAACAGTTCTTTGGCTTCGGTGGACTGAAGCCCCAGAGATTTTGCTGAATCCCGAACAAATCTTTTAAGTTCATGTGTTGGTATGTACCCGTCATGGTTAACGTCGAACTAAACAAATTTATTTTATAATTACCTTATTAAAAAAATTTTTAAAGTATTTGGAAGCGATTAGGCAGTCAAAGTGTAGGTCATGCAGCTAATGCTCTAATTTCTTTGAAGGTTTAAAGTGATATAAAGCGCTGATTAAACAAAGTACAGTTTTCCATCTTTTTCAGAACAGTCAATTTTTACGAGTTGAATTTTTGGACGTAGTGGTGCTGCTTTGCTGCTTGGAGACAACGGAAGAAGGAAACACGTTTTGTGAAGCCAAATTTTTCCACAGAAAAAAACCAGTTTACGGTGCTTTGTTAAAAGTTTGTACTGTTACAGAACACAAAAGTACAAACAGAAGACGGAAGATAAAAAAAACCTAGTGGAAAAACAGGTAAAAAGAAGAACAGAACGAAAGCTTCTAATACATTTTTGGTATGTCTTTCTCATTTCAAAGAAAACCTACCAAGTTAAAAGAAATAAATGAGGGTTGGAGAATTCTTATCAGGAAGCAGCTACCTGTTTAAAAAGAAGAGGTTTTTTTAACTCTGCAACAGTAACTTAAGACGACAAATAATGATTTTTAAAAGCAAATAATGAAAGTAAAGCACATATAAAAGAAGTATTGTAGTCGTAATCTTCCTTTTGCTTTGCAAAAGTTGTAATCTGAGTGCTTAAGAAATCGATGTTATTACCAAAAATCTAAGTGAACTTTTTATCACTTTACAGTAATATAGTGGTGTATGACAACAAACCAAACTGGTAACAGTGGATGTTCTGGAAAAAAAGAAAAAAGCAGATTATATTAAAAATTTGTTTCTTGAAACATACTCGTTGAAAAATTCGAATCCATGCTTCGCATTCATACGGATATTCGCAAGTTGGCTGTAATTGAAACATACCAAACTGTTCGTTCACCAGTCTTCAAGGCCTTTGATTTTTACGTGATTTTTTCTAAAATGATCACTTTCAACTGTGAAAAAGCCTAGTGGTGGAACCGCTGTTATCCTTTTCTGCCGGAATAGCCAATTAACGAAAAATACAAGATTCGAATAACAATAACGACAGGTACGCAGATACGTTTAAGAAAATTTTTTTTTGATGAGCTCTATAACAATAAGGAAGGAGTAAGGGCAAACTGAAAAGAAAACACGAACAACAAACAAAACACTTTTTACACATGCCCAAAAACGATTTGTGTAGAGTGCCACCACTAAATGGGTCATTTTCAGCAGTCAGCCAAAAATACTCCCCTCCCCCGTCAATTTTCGCTTTCTCCTCCTCAGCTGTCCTCCTATTTCATTCAATATCGTCGTCATCCATATATGCATCACAGGTTTTGATAATACTGCGGTGTTTTGAGTGTACTCAACGGCGCTTTTGGTGGGTCATAAAAGACGCTCATTGGGGATAAACTAAGACAGTCGACTGTCTTAGCTATTTGCTGTTGTTTAAAATTAGTGCAAAGGCTGAAAAAAGTACCTCGACTAAAACGACTGTACAGAGTTTTGAAAACGGGGAATGGTTGGTGTTCATCGAACAGGAAGGGCTAGGAAAAAAAGAAAATTTTACTTTTATTTTTTTTTGTTTAAATTTTTTTTAATCTTTTTGGTGAGCTACACCAGATGCAATATGCCGGTTTCTCTGCTGCATCAAATAATAGCTGTCGCAACAGATAGTATCAAGAAGTAATCTGCTGTTTCATTCTCAGTTGTAACTGGTAGTAACAGTTACTGAACAGTGGAGTAATGTTGACTGGAAAATTCGCTTTACCAACACTTGATATTTGGATATAAACTGTGAAAAGAAAGTGATTTTCCGAATACTTCTCATTTAATTGGATTTAGAATGCACGTGGATATTCTCGTTCTTAAATGCTCAAGCCTAGTGGGCAACGCAGTAGTTTTCTACGCTAAAAAAATTCATTGCTATTTCTTAACCTTCTTAAACTGTCACTAGATATGTGTAAAAATGAACGGTAATTTAGCATTTAAGGTTTTAATGAACAACTGAGCAAAGTAACTGTCACGCTGAGCGAGGGGAGGAGAGGAGGGGGAGGGGGGGAGCGGAGTGAGGGGAAAGCTAATTTTCATAATTTTGTATTGATTATATCATTTTTGTTAGTATACGAAAACTCTAAAATTGTTCCACATCTATTCTGTTGCTATTCCGTTGTCTTTTTATACTTCAGGTCTTCCGTATTAAGCCAGCTAATAAAGTACAAAAAATCGTTTGCAAACTTCCATATTCTACTTATTATTTATCTTAATTGTTTTCATAACTTAATTTTAGTGTCTAAAAAAATTGAGTTTGCATATAATGTCGGTAACTGCAACCATTTGTTAACAGCTTGTGGAATTTAAAAAGTATCGGCTGCAACAGTTTCTCTTTGGTTTTATTAGTCGGTTGCACCTGTATAATAATTATGTATCTGACAAAGTAATATAGTAATATAGCCTGTAATTTTGACAAATTTCTAATACATTTCCATTAATGTCGCTCCTGTCAAAGATTTGTGACTGCTTTAAACAGGACCGATCTTGAGTGAAGAAGGCGAAGAGGAGAGAGGAAGGGGGTCATAGTAAAAAGATTTGTTAGGCCGACTACATCTTTCACTGAAACTACTTTATTACTGTGTTTTATGATAGAGTTGATTTCAAGGAAGGCATAACAAAACGATTCTTTCTCAAACGGCTCTAAAAGTTTTTAAATACAGTATTTGAAAAGGTGGTAAAGGTGTGTGTTAGAACTGGAGAAATTGATACTGTACCACTGTTTATGCTTGTCTTTCACAGTGTAGTGTTTATCAGCTTTTAGTTGACTCTGTAGGTCTGATTTAGATGGACATCAGTCGCAAATTTTCATATATGATTGAAAGTCACCGGTTAATGCAGTCTTTTTTAGTTTAATGGAAGAATAAGCGCTTGGTTCTAACTAGAAGAGCACTGAAAAGGTGTCTATGCTCAAAGTTATTCATATAATTTTCATTTGGGTACTACTTTGAATCTGACACTTTAAGTAAATGACTATTTATTAATAGTAACCATTATCTGCGGTATAACTGTATTAAGGCGATAGAAAAAACCTTCATAAACACATTTGAAAGCAATTTATCAGTTAGCTAGCATGATTTCTCAATATCTCACGTGTTTTTGATATGAGTTTTACTACTGTAACTTTGCTGTAAGTATTAAATTTTAGAACATAGTAACTCTCAGATTTGTGATTTTAGCAGTTGCGATATTGGTATAGTTGATATGAGTTAAGTCAAAAAGTAACAACTAATTTTTATGCATAGTAATTGTCTGTGTTTTGCAGGTTGAATTTAAGAGCACTACAAATCATGTTTTTTTTTTGCTTTTTGTCGTTTGTAATTACTATTGAAATCTTTGTTAAAATTATACTAACTTCAAGGCGCTTTTATGTAGTTGTAAAAACCTGTTATCGAATGTTTCCGCAAAAGATCGGTTATATTCAAGGCTTTTAATTTTGTTTATTTATATTTTAGTTGTATTTTCTACAAATATTAGACCATAAATAAATAACTGATGATGACGACAGTATTCTGTTAGTGAAACAAGAGATTTAAAAACTATTTTCTGCTTTTATCTTCGTAGGTTGTATAATTGCCAAAAATTGTAGTGTTTTCTAGTTTTGTTGCACTGTTAATGGAACAGTGATCTGGTTTCTGATACTTGTGAAAGTTACTGTAAGTCACAGCCAACTTTGAGTTGCTTAATTTAAAGCATGCTCAGCCATTTACTTTGCCACAACTGTTTTATTGTTTGCTGCTATTTTATCACAATCGCATAAATCATCAGTCATTTATTCTTTAAATCATCTTTTTTTTGTCACTTTTGTTTGATGGATCAAAAAAGTTCCACCTGATTTTCTTCGCTTGTACACTGGGCTGTAGTTAAGGATTTGGTGAGTTTTTATTAGAGGTGGAAATCTGAAACGTAAAAACGTTGCAAATACCAACACAAACACTTCAATGTGTTACAGAAGGACAAAAAGAACTGTAAATGAATAGATATAGCATAAAAAACGAAATACAAAAAATTGTAATAAATCAAAAAAAAAAAAAAAA